AGTTAATATCTTACTAAGTTAATATCTTACTAAGTTAATATCTTACTAAGTTAATCTCTAACTAAGTTAATATCTTACTAAGTTAATCTCTAACTAAGTTAATATCTTACTAAGTTAATATCTTACTAAGTTAATATCTACTAAGTTAATCTCTAAGTTAATCTCTTACTAAGTTAATATCTTACTAAGTTAATATCTAACTAAGTTAATCTCTTACTAAGTTAATCTCTTACTAAGTTAATATCTTACTAAGTTAATATCTAACTAAGTTAATCTCTAACTAAGTTAATCTCTTACTAAGTTAATATCTTACTAAGTTAATCTCTTACTAAGTTAATATCTTACTAAGTTAATATTTACTAAGTTAATATCTTACTAAGTTAATATTTACTAAGTTAATATCTTACTAAGTTAATCTCTTACTAAGTTAATCTCTTACTAAGTTAATATCTAACTAAGTTAATATGCAACTAAGTTAATCTCTAACTAAGTTAATCTCTTACTAAGTTAATATCTTACTAAGTTAATATCTTACTAAGTTAATCTCTTACTAAGTTAATCTCTAACTAAGTTAATCTCTAAGTTAATATCTTACTAAGTTAATATCTTACTAAGTTAATCTCTTACTAAGTTAATATATTACTAAGTTAATCTCTAAGTTAATATCTTACTAAGTTAATCTCTTACTAAGTTAATATCTAACTAAGTTAATCTATTACTAAGTTAATATCTTACTAAGTTAATCTCTTACTAAGTTAATCTCTAACTAAGTTAATCTATTACTAAGTTAACATCTTACTAAGTTAATCTCTTACTAAGTTAATATCTTACTAAGTTAATCTCTAACTAAGTTAATATCTTACTAAGTTAATCTCTAACTAAGTTAATCTCTAACTAAGTTAATATCTTACTAAGTTAATCTCTTACTAAGTTAATATCTTACTAAGTTAATCTATAACTAAGTTAATCTCTTACTAAGTTAATCTCTTACTAAGTTAATATCTTACTAAGTTAATCTCTTACTATTAACATTTTAACGTAAGTTATCTACTAACTAAGTTAATATCTTACTAAGTTAATATCTTACTAAGTTAATCTCTTACTAAGTTAATATCTACTAAGTTAATATCTAACTAAGTTAATATCTTACTAAGTTAATATCTAACTAAGTTAATCTCTTACTAAGTTAATCTCTTACTAAGTTAATCTCTAACTAAGTTAATCTCTTACTAAGTTAATCTCTTACTAAGTTAATCTCTAACTAAGTTAATATCTTACTAAGTTAATCTCTTACTAAGTTAATATCTAACTAAGTTAATATCTTACTAAGTTAATATCTTACTAAGTTAATATCTTACTAAGTTAATATCTACTAAGTTAATATCTTACTAAGTTAATATCTTACTAAGTTAATCTCTAACTAAGTTAATTCTTACTAAGTTAATCTCTTACTAAGTTAATATCTTACTAAGTTAATCTCTTACTAAGTTAATCTCTTACTAAGTTAATCTCTTACTAAGTTAATCTCTTACTAAGTTAATATCTTACTAAGTTAATCTCTAACTAAGTTAATCTCTTACTAAGTTAATCTCTTACTAAGTTAATATCTTACTAAGTTAATCTCTAACTAAGTTAATATCTTACTAAGTTAATATCTTACTAAGTTAATCTCTAACGAGTCTCACTGAGGCGCCGATGACTCCATGACGACTACCGACTGGGGGCGTTGCCCTGGCAACGGCGTCTCCCGCCAACGGCCACCGACCGTCACGTGACGCCCCCTTCCCCCCCTCCCGCTCGCGCTGCAGTTTCCCGCCAAAAGCGCACGCGGCGCTCGTTATGTTAATGAGGATGACGTCGTGACCTGCGGCGCCAATCAGTGCCCACAGCGCCCGTAGAACACCACGTGCCTGGACTGTGAGCGGTGACCCACTGATGATGTGTGCAGGGCAAGGCCGTACTAATTATAATATATTGCTATAAACAATATTTTTAAAAATATATATAATTGCTATGCCATGTAAATAAAAACTACAACTTGCTAAACCTTGGCCACGATATCTGGACTTGTCTTCATGTAACAATGCATAGATTTCAGTTCACGTGATTGTGGTTATGGTTGTACTTTTTAAATCCCTAATCTCTGCCATTACATACGATGAAACAAGCAAAGGTCATAAATAAATAAAAACAGAGCAATGTAATAATACAACACCACTATTAGACATTATTGTAATAAACAAATAAAAACGTCCGTCCCATGTGTTCGTGAATTTTTTTTCATATTTAAGGCAGGAAATTAGTTTTCAAATTTAGATTTATTTTTTCTGGGGGGTGGGAGACCTCTTAAGATTTGGTGCCCCCCCAAATCTTGACTCCGTGGCCACGGCCATGGCGCTGGGTCAGCTAGTTCCTACCTCGCGGCACTTGTAAAGCATCTTCTTTGGTTCTTTCGGTAAAGTCACCACGTAGAATGAGAATAAAATAATAAATTAATGAAATAACACAATTAAAATCTCACGACGTTTCGGCCACAACACAAGTGGCCTTCTTCAGGTGAAAGGAACAAACCTGTCGGGACGACAGAGCTTCAATGAACGCTGTTAAGATTCGTAGCGTCTTTTTAAGCTGGTTTAGAGAAGTGAGGCACCTTGACAAAGGGGTTTACATATCAAACAGGAGAATTTATCATTGAAATAGCTGAGTGATTAGCTTGTGACTGGTCATAGAAATAGCTATGTTAAAGTCAAAGCCTACACATCCACAGAGGCACCTAGTACAAATCAAACAGGATAATTTAGCATTGAAATAACTGAGTGATTAGCTTGAGACTGGTCATAGAAATAGCTATGTTAAAGTCAAAGCTTACACATCCACAGAGGCACCTAGTACAAATCAAACAGGATAATTTAGCATTGAAATAGCTGAGTGATTAGCTTGTGACTGGTCACAGTCGTTCTGTGCTGTCAAGAAGGGACATCCTCGACTTCATGCGGGATATTTTCCTTTGAAGGGCGCACAGCGGTTAGTGACGCGTGTTGAGTGTTTTTATTTGTGTGAAGCAATCATCGTGATTCATGATTCTCCACTGTTGCTCCTGGCACTCGCTTACCGATGGTCAACCTCCTCATCGCCCTCCTATCGCTACTTACCGTGGTTACTTGTTATCGTGAACTTCACTCCTTGATTCTTTCACCCAAAAGTATATGATCCTCTGCTGATTTTGTACGTTTGCCCACTGACAAAGAAATGATCAGTCTATCATTTTAATGGTAGGTTTATTTGAACGGTGAGAGACAGAATGACAACAAGAAAATCAATACACCCGGACATCCGCAACAACCAACAAAATCGCTGCCACGTCACTGTATAATACGCTCGCATATGCTGTTGGGAATGTAATCCACATTTATAATGTGTGTGCCTCACTCTCCGTTGTACACGCGTTATCCACAATTACGGAGTTAATATCAAAGGAAAGCTCTTGATCTTTCTCCGTCGCTCCCTTGACCGCACGTGGGAATTCACGACGACAGCGCGCTTAATTTTATCTTTTTGTTTATAGGAAATACAGGTTTAAACAAGAATCACAATTTCACGTAATATCAACAACGGCGGGAGGGGGAAAGTGTGCGAGCGCCATCTTGAGTAGGCGCACGGGATCGGTGTGGGATGCGTCAAGCCGGAACCACTCAGTCCACGGTATATCATCATAGTAATGCTCACAATAATAACAACAACAATCACACCTCCGTTGATAACAAGTTTCGACAAAAAACAGTGGGCAGAATATCATCGCAAAGCCGCCGTGATTGATTTTTCAAGGGGGTCGGATCGCCGCACGTGTAACGCGTTGCGCCACGCACCCTCCCTCCACTCGGAACGACAGGCAATTTAACAAAACCTCTCTCTCGTGGTGAACAAACGCCGCCAATTTATCGCTGCCTCGGCAGCACCGCCGGTGATCTCGTCGCCGTTGGCGAGCGATCCACGCAAGACGCCGAATAAAAACGGGCAGCGGACGTGCCGCGGGTAGCTGCGCGCAACCGGCGCTGTCGGGCAGTTGCCAGCAGTGAATCGGCTTCACAACAACAACGACGGTGGGTTGCCACAAGTTGTGAACTATTTATCATGTTAGCGAGCACCTATGAAGGCCGGCATGGGGGTGGGGTGGCCCGCATCACGCCCGGTGCCTTCGTCTCCCCAGTGGCGATGTTTAGACGACACCGCGACAAATACTCGCCTGAGGCCGAGTCGAGCTAAAAGGAGGCCCAGATGTCACTCGCTACTGATGTTGGCCGAGACCAGGAATCAAACTCAGGTCACTGGGTTCGTAGGCCGGTGTGCATAGAGGGATCGAGGAATTGAGGGTTAGGGAGATCGATACACGAACCGACATCCAACTGACACACAAACGGACACGTTGTGTTAGTTTGTTGTCCTTCCCCCGCACCTCCGATTAGTACGGTTGGATACATACGGTGCGAAAAAACTTCAACGCACTGTACATACAACACATGAACCAAAACAAACAGAGCCAAAACAACAACAACCGCTATTCGCAGTTAGAGGCAGTCGCCCTCCAACAACAACGAAGGGGGGAGGAGCGACGCTCACAACAACGAGCGGAGCGCCGGGCGGCTAAAGCACAGCAAGATGGCACAGTAGGGGGGTACAGCTGGTGGTGCATCAGCCACTCATCTCAGTCAGTCGACCTGTGGAACCTGGGTCTACCCCGTGACCTCCTGCCGGCGGGCGTTTGACACTTCACGTGGCCTCAAGGTGCACAAAGCCTGGCACAAAGCGCCGTGGTGACGTCACCGCCACCTAGTGGCGAACGGCGGTTGTTGTTGTTGCTGCAGTGTGCGTAGTGTGTGTATGGTGTGTAGTGCGTGTAGCGTGCGTGCGTACCTGCGCGTTGGGAGAGCAGCGGTTGTTGTTGTTGTTGCAGTGTGCGTAGTGTGTGTATGGTGTGTAGTGCATGCAGCGTGCGTGCGTACCTGCGCGTTGGAAGAGCAGCGTTTGCTGCTGGAGAGCCACGAGTCGTAAGAGAAGTGGTTGCCCCAGGTTCGGCAGCACTCGGCGTGCCCCAAGCACTTTCTGTACTCCTTGCACACCTTGCACGGGTAAGAGGCGAGGGGTTGGGGGTCAGAGTTCAAGTCAGGCCTAGAGTTAGGGTTATACGGTGTTGAAGCTTGCGTTTAGAGTCGGGGGTTACGGTCAGGGTTCGATCCAGACCTTGCCAACGCTTCTGCTGCTGCTGCTGTATATTTGGAGTCTGCGTCTCTCTCTCATCATCATCACGGTGGCTATGAGATGTTAACTACCTCGCCTGGTCCGCAGGAGGTCGTGGGTTCGATCCAGACCCTGACGATGCCTGCTGCTGCTGTATATTTGGAGTTTTTTGTGTCTCTCTCATCATCATCACGGTGGCTATGAGATGTTAACTACCTCGCCTGGTATACAGGAGGTCGTGAGTTCTATCCAGACCTTGACGACGCTTGCTGCTGTATATTTGGAGTTTTTTGTGTCTCTCTCATCATTATCACAATGGCTATGAGATGTTAACTACCTCGCCTGGTCTACAGGAGGTCGTGAGTTCGATCTCGACCTTGACGACGCCTGCTGCTGCTGCTGCATATTTGGAGTTTGCGTTGTCATGCTCTGACCCCGTGCCATGACTGGACATCTGCGAGAAAGAGCTTTGTGGCTCTTTGGATTCCGCCTCCAGTTTAAAATTGTTTAAGATTTTGAAAAAGAGCCACAGAGCTCAGTGGGCCTCACGAGTTGTCAAGATTTCTGGGCGCACTTCCACGTCGAAGCAAAAAAAAAACGGCGTGACGGGAAGAGGGGGTTGGGCACCTTCATCTGCAGAGCGCAGTGGAAGATGAAGATGAACATGCCCTGGAAGGAGTTGAAGATGATGAAGAGGTAGGCCATGACCAGAGTGGCCTTGTCGATGAAGAGGAACCCGAACACCCAGGTGAGGCCGAGGAGGCACAGCAGCGCCACGCCCCCCAGCGCACAGGACCTGTGGGCAAGGAAGAACAAAAACGAACGATAACAACGGCCGGCAAAAAAGCGAGCGCCGTGGTGAATATTTGCCATCGCGTAGCGTTGTCGTCATCGTCGTTATTATCGTCGTCGTCGTGAACTTACCGACCCACGCGACACGTTACGTGCGTATCGACGTACAGTAAAACCTTGGGATTGCGAGCACAATTCGTTCCGGAAACGTGTTTGTAATCCAAAGCACTCGTACGTCAGTTGTGATCACGTGACGCTCGGCAGTACGAAGCGTCTACACGTGCTGCCGCTCGTATTGCTAAGACCCTCGCACGTTCATCAAGTGAATATTTATATTTAAACAATGTGTTGCTCGTCTTGCAAAACACTCGCAGACCAAGTTACTCGCAATCCAAGGTTTCGCTCTGAACGTTGAACTTCTTTCGCGCCGTACGTAGCCAACAGTGCTCATCGGAGGTGCGGGGGAAGGACTAACTAACTAACTAAAAACACAAAAATGCAGTTCTGAAGAAGTGAGATTAGAATCAAAATTTAAAAGCCCATGAGTAAGACAAGCCAATTGGTAAGGTTTGTCATGTGAGCAAAACGTGGACATTTATAGCGGCCAAACGCTCTAAGCACACGCTTCTTAATGTGAAGGGAAAAGACACGGAGGACCCCGAGAAAAAATTCACGCAACCACGGGGAGAACATTCAAGCTCCAAATATACAGCAGCAGGCAGTGTCAGGGTCGGGTTCGAACCCATGACCTCCTGTATACCAGCCGAGGGAGTTAACATCTCCTAGCCACCGTGATGATGATGATGATGAGACAGAGGGAGAACATTCAAGCTCCAAATATACAGCAGCAGCAGCAGGCAATGTCAGGGTCGGGTTCGAACCCATGACCTCCTGTATACCAGCCGAGGGAGTTAACATCTCCTAGCCACCACGATGGATGGACAGACAGATTGACGTTTCGGGAGGTGGATCAGACTGACAGTTAAATGGACGGATCGCTGGATGAACGAGCAGACAAACGGACAGATGCATGGCTGGAGAGACGAAACGCATACGGAGCGATTAAACCGTCTGCCCCACAGACACGGGAGTCACACCGCCAGCGGGAATGCCAGCGCTGTCAGTCGGTGTCACCGAACGCGAGCACTTTTGAGAGGGCATCATCTGTGGGCACCGAGGGCCCACTCCGACATCGCCACTGCGTGGAGTTCTGTCGCTGTGCAGGAAAGCTCATTTGCTACATGAGACGGGTTGGATGACGAGTCAGACTGATTGGAAGGACAAAGGGATGAATGGCCTTGTGGGAGCAACGGTCTCGATAAAGTTATTTTATTTTAGTTTTTCTTCCGGTTTCGTTTTGACGACACACACGTAGGTCATGGGAACGGAATCGGAAGAAAAACCGGATGACGTTACACCTACGTACGTCACCGGAACGGGAAAGGTTTAAACTAATGCAAGCAGGCGCGTGATTTATAAATCCCTTGCAAAGGGCGATCGTTACACGGTGGGTCAAAGCGAACCGATGGTCCCCCGAGAGCTGGACGGAGCTCGTTAAAAGCGAAACCCGAATTTTAAACGACGGTTACATTTTTGCGCAGGGGTCATTGGCGACCGCGGCTGAGAACCACCAACATTCGCTCGCGACACCGGAACACTCCAGGTGCAATCACGGGTGGCTGGGGCCCAGTTGGTCAAACGAAAAGGCAAGGGAGGGCCCTAATGTGAAGAGTGGGCTGGCGCGGGAACAGCCAGCTTCACCCACCGTGTGTCCCGGCTGAACCTCACGGAAAATGCGGTCGCTTTAAGTGATGAACCCCCCCCTCGCCCCTCTCCCCCCTAACCCCCCCCCCCCACACCCGGCCACCTCACTCACTTAATGCTCTCGGGCTTGAGTGGCGCCGAATGCTGCACCATCTTGTACAGAGTCATCAGCAGGAACACGAAGTTCACCTGTGACACCACACACGCACCGCGCATACGAGTCAACAAGTCCATAAGACGTTGTTTTTTGTTGGGTTAGATTACGTGTCGTTAAGCCCGTCACCACCCCCACCCGACCACGGACAATCAGTAAGCTTTGTCGCGTAAACAGAACCTGACAATTCGTCGCTAGTTCAGCGCACCGGTGTGTTCGAGAGTAAACCCACAGCAACATTTACAATTCGAGCAGCGTGACGTTTCGCCAGTGATTACAACAACAACAACAGCCACCATCGTCAGGCGATAGCCAGAATTGCGGAGGATTCCTCCTGCTGTTTTGGTCTTAAACGGAGGCGTAGAGGTGATGTCGTCACTGAGCCTATCAGGTGCGAATATCAGAGGGGGGTGAATTTAGTGATGTAAATAGCAGTGGATGCCTCTACCTACAATAATCATGTCTGCCCGTAACGCTCGTGACGTCACTCCACGTCGACCAGCCCCCCTCATTAATAATCATGAACAGTCACGTAGAAGGGTAACAATAAAATAATAAAAATATAAAACAATAAAATTCTCACGACGTTTCGACCGCAACACAAGCAATCATCGTCAGGTGTAAAAACCACGGCAGGAAAATTTGCTGTAGTTTTCACGTTCTGCAGATGTAGAGTGCAAGTGGATTGAAGCCACCTGTGTGGCGTTGAGTTTTGTTGTTGTTGCATCATCCCCTCGTCGTATACAAGGTGGGTTTTTCTCCGGGTTCTCTGGTTCCCTACCCGCACGGAGCGACGTTGCATCCTCGAAACACCCCCAAAGGCACGAAAGCTGCTGGCACGTCTGCAACTCGTCCCCCAACGACACGTTCACGTCACAATTTTAGAACCGGCAGGGAGGGATCAACATGGGGACAAATGGGACGGGAAACAGACACGCGCACGAAGCAGAGCGCGTGCACACGTGCGCCGGACTGTTGCAGGCGAGCTAGCGCCTCCGACTAGCACGGTTGGCTACGTACGGTGGGAAAGAAGTTCAACGCTACGTACGTACGTACTGGCGTTGGCGCGGCAATCGGAGGTGCCCGCCTGCAATTTGGGCACGAGACGGGATTTTGGTACGGGACGATTTCGGGAATTCACGCTCAAGACGAACGTGGGAATCGCATCAGATTCATCGCGGGACCCGTCACGCTATGCGCACGTCGAGCAGCAGACACGGCGACCCGCCCGCCCATCTCCCACCCCCGGCACGACGCGCACGCACGGAACTCACGAGGATGATGGTGGCCACGGGCGCAAGGAAACTCCAGATGAAATGATTGTCGGTCCGGAGCCAACAGCTGCAGGCGGAACAGAGGACAAACGATCGCCTGGTTAGCCTGACAGGCCGGGATAGCGCGTCCATGCATCCGGTTTCATTTGCCGGCATCTGGTAACATTTGCCACCGTTCAGTTGCACTTGAGCACCCATCTGGTAACATTGGGGGACATTTGTGTCATTTGTTGTATGCGAGGACACCTGGTGAGACCGGGCGCCAGCCGGCAAGGCCGGGCACCGGTTAGTAAGCCCGGGCGCCAGGTGGCAACACCAGGCGTGAACCGGCGACACCGCGCTCCGGTTAGTAAGCCCGGCGCGCCGGCCGGCCCGGCGGCGAAGAGGGACGACAGGGGGCTCACGCTCGCTCGGTGCCGTAGCCCGTGCGGTCGACGGCGAGGCAGACCCCGACGACGGCGAGCGGCAGGCCGTAGCCCAGGAGGTAGAAGTACTTGCGGCGAGAGCGGCGCCCCTCGAACACCTCCACCAGCATGAGGTAGAGCTGCACGCCCTCCAGGAACATCCACGCAAACGCCGCCAGGAAGAGCAGGTGCAGCAGCGCCGCCAGCACGGGGCACGCCACCTGCGGAGCCGGCGCGGTGGCGGGGGGCAGGCGGGCGGGCGGGCGGCGGTGGCGTTACACTGAATCTGAATCTTTATTTGGACGTGGAGGGAGGAATCCGATGAGCCAAGAAGCTCTTTTCTGACAGACGTCCACCGGTTAGGGGGGGTCACAGGTGTCAGCGAGTTTACTTAAAGCAAAACAACGCGGTAGGAGTGCAAAGTAGAGGAAAGGTAAACAAATCATGAACAAAAATCAACTATTTTTTTATTTTCCCAGGCAAACCCCCCCCCCCCCCCCCCGAGCTGTTAAACAATTTGTTTCAGGAGCGAGTGCAAAATAGAGAAAGTGGTAAGCAAGTGACTAAACGTGAGCGGGCGGGCGGGCGCACCGTGTACTGAGTCTTGTCGATGCCCACAAGGAACAGCAGCTGGGCGAGCAGCAGGTTGAGGCATAAGTTTTTGTGAATGGTGTTGCGGTCACTCTGGAGGCCGCGGAAGAAGCAGAAGGTGAACGTGGCCACGGCGAGGCACACGAGGGACACCAGCACGCCCACCCACGTGATCACCAGCAGCAGCAGCTCGTGGGCGCGGTGCCCGTACTGGCACGCACGGGCAAGACGCGGGCACGGGACACACGGAGGGGCGTGAGGGTGCCGTGGGCAGCCGTACGCACGCATCGGGAACTTCTTTGGCCAAGTACCGTAGCCGGCCGTGCTCGTGGGGGGTGCGGGGGAAGGAAACTAAACGGAAAAAAGTGCTTAAAGAAATTAGTTGTCAATTGAGATTTCAAATATAGCCCTTAACAGACTGCAGGGGCAAGTGCTGTTAGCGACTAGCAGCTATGAAGGCCGGAACGGCACACGAGGGGGTGGGTGGCCAGCACCACGCCCGGCCGCCTTTCTCTCCCAAGTGGCGATGTTTACACACCGCAATAGTTACTGATTTGAGGCCGAGTCGATTGAGATAATTAGTTGGTGGTCATGAGTGGGAATTGAACTCGGGTCGCTGGGTTCGTAGCGCAGCGCCCTAACCGCCAGGCCACCGCTCCCCCACAACATAAACATTACCACTATCAAGTCAACTACCACCACCTCCTCATCCAAACTTGACCACCACCAACATCACCACCATCACCTGCAATCACCACCCTCACCACCACATCTAAACTTGACCACCATCACCATCATCACCTCCAATCACCACCCTCACCACACTCATCACCACTTCTTTACCACCAACATCACCACCATCACCTCCAATCACTACCCTCAACACCCTCATCACCACCTCTTTACCACCAACATCACCACCACCATCACCTCCAATCACCACCCTCACCACCCTCATCACCACCTCTTTACTACCACTTTACCACCACCATCACCATCATCACCTCCAATCACCACCCTCATCACCACCTCTTTACCACCACCATCACCCTCATCACCTCCAATCACCACCCTCACCACCCTCATCACCACCTCTTTACCACCACCATCACCACCATTACCTCCAATCACCACCCTCATCACCACCTCTTTACCACCAACAACACCACCATCACCTCCAATCACCACCCTCACCACCCTCACCACTACATCTAAACTTTACCACCACCATCACCACCGCCACCACCAGCGGGCCGAGGGGCACCACCATCACCCCCCCCCTCCCGAATCTCTGGGCACCTCGACGTGGCCCCTCGCCACGAGCACCGCCAAATTGTTGAGGTGGCCGCAGGAGCAGGCGGCGTGCGCGCTGCTGCTGTTGCTGGGCAGCGGCTCGCAGCCGTGGCTCGACCAGTTGCCCCTCGTGGTGTGGGACGAGTAGCTCCAGAAGGAGCAGCTGGGGCTCAAGTGGTCCAACGTCTGGGGGCGGGGGGGTGGTGTACGGGGAGGAGGAGGACGGCACCCAACTCGTCATTCAACAACGACCCCCAAGCTCACAACCCCCCTCCCCCCGTGCCCCCCCACCGCCCCCCACCCACCCCGTCATCACAGAGCAGGGGAACGTCTTCATCACAGAGCAGGGGAACGTCGTCATCACAGAGCAGGGGAACGTCGTCATCATCACAGAGCAGGGGAACGTCGTCATCATCACAGAGCAGGGGAACGTCGTCATCACAGAGCAGGGGAACGTCATCATCACAGAGCAGGGGAACGTCGTCATCATCACAGAGCAGGGGAACGTCGTCATCACAGAGCAGGGGAACGTCGTCATCACAGAGCAGGGGAACGTCGTCATCACAGAGCAGGGGAACGTCGTCATCACAGAGCAGGGGAACGTCGTCATCACAGAGCAGGGGAACGTCGTCATCACAGAGCAGGGGAACGTCGTCATCACAGAGCAGGGGAACGTCGTCATCACAGAGCAGGGGAACGTCGTCATCACAGAGCAGGGGAACGTCGTCATCACAGAGCAGGGGAACGTCGTCATCACAGAGCAGGGGAACGTCGTCATCATCACAGAGCAGGGGAACGTCGTCATCACAGAGCAGGGGAACGTCGTCATCACAGAGCAGGGGAACGTCATCATCACAGAGCAGGGGAACGTCATCATCACAGAGCAGGGGAACGTCGTCAGCAGGGGAACGTCGTCATCACAGAGCAGGGGAACGTCGTCATCACAGAGCAGGGGAACGTCGTCATCACAGAGCAGGGGAACGTCGTCATCACAGAGCAGGGGAACGTCGTCATCACAGAGCAGGGGAACGTCATCATCACAGAGCAGGGGAACGTCGTCATCACAGAGCAGGGAAACGTCGTCGTCATCACAGAGCAGGGGAACGTCATCATCACAGAGCAGGGGAACGTCGTCATCACAGAGCAGGGGAACGTCGTCATCACAGAGCAGGGGAACGTCGTCATCACAGCAGGGGAACGTCGTCATCACAGAGCAGGGGAACGTCGTCATCATCACAGAGCAGGGGAACGTCGTCATCACAGAGCAGGGGAACGTCGTCATCACAGAGCAGGGGAACGTCGTCATCACAGAGCAGGGGAACGTCGTCATCACAGAGCAGGGGAACGTCTTCATCATCACGAGCAGGGGAACGCGTCATCAAGAGCAGGGGAACGTCGTCATCACAGAGCAGGGGAACGGTCGTCATCAAGAGCAGGGGAACGTCGTCATCACAGAGCAGGGGAACGTCGTCATCACAGAGCAGGGGAACGTCGTCGTCATCACAGAGCAGGGGAACGTCATCATCATCACAGAGCAGGGGAACGTCGTCATCATCACAGAGCAGGGGAACTTCGTCATCATCACAGAGCAGGGGAACGTCATCATCACAGAGCAGGGGAACGTCGTCATCACAGAGCAGGGGAACGTCGTCGTCATCACAGAGCAGGGGAACGTCGTCATCACAGAGCAGGGGAACGTCATCATCACAGAGCAGGGGAACGTCGTCATCACAGAGCAGGGGAACGTCATCATCACAGAGCAGGGGAACGTCGTCATCACAGAGCAGGGGAACGTCGTCATCACAGAGCAGGGGAACGTCGTCATCACAGAGCAGGGGAACGTCATCATCACAGAGCAGGGGAACGTCGTCATCACAGAGCAGGGGAACGTCGTCATCACAGAGCAGGGGAACGTCATCATCACAGAGCAGGGGAACATCGTCATCACCGAGCAGGGGAACGTCGTCATCACAGAGTAGGGGAACGTCGTCATCACAGAGCAGGGGAACGTCGTCATCACAGAGCAGGGGAACGTCGTCATCACAGAGCAGGGGAACGTCGTCGTCATCACAGAGCAGCTGAGAGTGAAGAGATTGGGGGGGGAGGGGGGCATAAAGGAGGGGGAGCGGGTAAGGGGGGAAGGTGGCATTATATAAAGACACCGCGCGATTTCCAGACTCGCACACAACAACAACACAACAACAACAGCTGCTGCTGCTGCTGCCGACGAGCAATCGGGCTTTGTTTGCCAGCTGCCCGGTTTCCGTTTGACCGGTCCCGGTTGTCAACCATCGCTCCCTCCGGAGTCTCTGACCGCACGTAACGAGTCTCTATGATGCGCGTGCAAGGTGCGCTGCACGACACGGCACGGAGCGTGCTTGACGGAACATGGAGCGGATCCCTGTGTTGTGCAGTGCATTGCTCAACAACACGGCACGGAGCGTGATTGACGGAACATGGAGCGGAGCCCTGTGGTGTGCAGTGCATTGCTGCACAACACGGCACGGAGCGTGATTGACGGAACATGGAGCGTGATTGACGGAACACCGTGACGTGCACCCGGGTGCACGTCACGGTGTTCTCAGCCTTGTCTAGACCACCAGCTCAGAGTGAAGCTGAACGCGGTGGCTGTATCAGGTTTACTATCCCCTATAGTTTAGCCGGCTCAGACAGTTTTTCTTCTCTTTTGATTCACTTTCTCATCATTCACGGAAGGCGTCCGATTTCGATTTGGAGTGGACGAACGGGCTCGCTGACGGACGCCATCCCCGTGACGGAACGACGCCCGGCGGATGAGCGACAGCCGGGCGTGACGGAACGGCGGCAGCCGAAGGCGACGGACGAGGCGGGGGGTGAAGACCGCCGAACAGACGGAGCGGAGGAGACGAGATGGTGGGTGGGGGGGGGCGTTGCGGGCATTGCGACGGCCGTGACGACGATGATGACGACTCGATTGGTGTCTCACATGGGGGGAAGGGAGAGGCAGGGAGGGAGGGAGGTGAGGCAGGGAGGAGAGGCAGGCCAGTGAAGGAGGCAGCAGGGAGTTGACGGCTCACCCATTGCGCGATTCTGTTCACCCAGGCGGAAGTGCAGTTGCTCAAATCGGGCCCTCGGGCAGACCAGGCTCCAGCGACGGCATCGCAGGTGTAGAGAGCCGTGCCTGAAGCGTGCACGCGCACAGAGACAAAGTTCCCCCGTGCGGCCCTTGACAGACGCCGCTGGGCCGAGTGCCATTAGCGAACGCCTCTGAGAGACGGCACGGCACACGATAGGGCGGGCGGCCGGTCGCCTTTGCATCTCCGGTGCTGCTGTTTACAAAGCGCGCCGCGTTACCGCCAACAACGTCTGCAGCAGTTCACCGGGTAAGGCCCACTGAGCTGTACAGCCCCTTTGTTTCAGGAGTCACCTGGCAAACGAATGACGGCTCTGGCGAAAGTGGATCACCGCGCGGGAATTTGTAGCGGCGGCCAAACGCCCCAAACGATGCGTGGCGATTCTCAAATGTGGAGGGGAAAACCGGAGGACCCGGGGAAAAATCCACGGGACCACGGGGAGCGAAACATGCAAACTTCAATCCGCAATGCGTCAGCATTGGGATCGAACCCACGACCACCGGGCGAGGTGGTTAACGTCTAGACCACGGGGGAGCCCAGGGTAGGTTCGTATGTTCGGAACCAATGTTGGCCACGAGCGGGAATCAAACTCAGTTCAATGGGTTCATAGCCCACCAACACATACGAATATACGATCACACATACACACACTCTCACACGTAATCAACATACAATCACACATACACACACTCTCACACATAATCAATATGCAATCACACATACACACACTCTCACACATAATCAATATGCAATCACACATACACACTCTCACACATAATCAATATCCAATCACGCACATTTAAATATACAAGAAGGCACACACATTTACACGCACAATACACAATCGTACACATTTGCACATATAGGTAATTCATCGATTTAGTCTGAGTTCACCTAAGGGATGCCCAAGACTCTGGTCAGATATCAATCGCCACCGATGCTGCGGCTGGAAAATCCAATTCAGATCGCCGGGTTCGAAGCGCAGTGCGCCAACAGTGGAGTCGCCGCTCCCCACCTCACGTGATTGATCCACGCGCACACACAGCGTGTGCACAAACACCCACACACGCACGCGTTCACACACAGACACACACACAGATCCCTCTGTAGCCTACATAGACCATTGTCTCCCCAGTACACACACACACAAAGATCCTTCTGTAGCCTACATAGACCATTGTCTCCCTAGTACACACACACACACAGATCCCTCTGTAGCCTACATAGACCATTGTCTCCCTAGTACACACACACACACAGATCCCTCTGTAGCCTACATAGACCATTGTCTCCCTAGTACACACACACACACAGATCCCTCTGTAGCCTACATAGACCATTGTCTCCCTAGTACACACACACACACAGATCCCTCTGTAGCCTACATAGACCATTGTCTCCCTAGTACACACACACACAGATCCCTCTGTAGCTTACATAGACCATTGTCTCCCTAGTATACACACACACAGATCCCTCTGTAGCCTACATAGACCATTGTCTCCCTAGTATACACACACAAATCCCTCTGTAGCCTACATAGACCATTGTCTCCCTAGTACACACACACACAGATCCCTCTGTAGCCTACATAGACCATTGTCTCCCTAGTACACACACACACAGATCCCTCTGTAGCCTACATAGACCATTGTTTCCCTAGTACACACACACACACAGATCCCTCTGTAACCTACATAGACCATTGTCTCCCTAGTACACACACACACAGATCCCTCTGTAGCCTACATAGACCATTGTCTCCCCAGTACACACACACACAGATCCCTCTGTAGCCTACATAGACCATTGTCTCCCAAGTACACACCCACACACAGATCCCTCTGTAACCTACATAGACCATTGTCTCCCCAGTACACACACACACACAGATCCCTCTGTAGCCTACATACACCATTGTCTCCCTAGTACACACACACACACAGATCCCTCTGTAGCCTACATAGACCATTGTCTCCCCAGTACACACACACAGATCCCTCTGTAGCCTACATAGACCATTGTCTCCCTAGTACACACACACACACAGATCCCTCTGTAGCCTACATAGACCATTGTTTCCCTAGTACACACACACACACAGATCCCTCTGTAGCCTACATAGACCATTGTCTCCCTAGTACACACACACACAGATCCCTCTGTAGCCTACATAGACCATTGTCTCCCCATTACACACACACACAGATCCCTCTATAGCCTACATAGACCATTGTCTCCCTAGTACACACACACACACACAGATCCCTCTGTAGCCTACATAGACCATTGTCTCCCCAGTACACACACACACAAAGATCCCTCTGTAGCCTACATAGACCATTATCTCCCTAGTACACACACCCACACACAGATCCCTCTGTAACCTACATAGACCATTGTCTCCCTAGTACACACACACACACACACAGATCCCTCTGTAGCCTACATAGACCATTGTCTCCCTAGTACACACACACAGATCCCTCTGTAGCCTACATAGACCACTGTCTCCCTAAGTACACACACACAGATCCCTCTGTAGCCTACATAGACCATTGTCTCCCTAGTACACACACACACAGATCCCTCTGTAGCCTACATAGACCATTGTCTCCCTAGTACACACACACAGATCCCTCTGTAGCCTACATAGACCATTGTCTCTCCAGTACACACACACACAGATCCCTCTGTAGCCTACATAGACCATTGTCTCCCTAGTACACACACACACACAGATCCCCCTGTAGCCTACATAGACCATTGTCTCCCTAGTACACACACACAGATCCCTCTGTAGCCTACATAGACCATTGTCTCCCCAGTACACACACACACACAGATCCCTCTGTAGCCTACATAGACCATTGTCTCCCTAGTACACACACACACACAAATAATCCTCTGGAGCCTATACACTACACTACTATACACTACACTACTATACACTACACTACACACTACTATATACTACACTATACACTACACTATACACTACTATACACGACACTATACACGACACTATACACTACACTATACACTACACACTAGTGCTGTACTAGTGACGAATTGGCAAGTGACGTGACAACCCTTACTAGTTGGTTGCGTCGGGTGGTGGCGGGTTTAAGGACACACACTGATACATTTACACGATCTAACCCCCCAAAAAAACTCCACTATTGGTGAGAATGTGTGTGATTGGATGTGGTTTTCCCACGTGATATCCTCAAGGCAACATTGCTGAGCGGTGCTTGAGCCCCACATCCCATCTAGCCACGTCTCACCACCTCCCACACTCCACAAAGACAAAAGGACCCCCGCGTGTAACCTTAACAGACCGTTGCACCAAGTGGCTGTTAGCGAGAAGCAACGAATGAAGGCCGTCAAGGCACACGAGAGGGGTGGGTGGCAAGCACCACGCCCGGCCGCCTTTGTCTCCCCAGTGGAGATGTTTTTTTTACTAATCGCTGCAGGTACTAATTTGAGGCCGAGTCGACCAAGCGGAGGCCCGGGACGAGTTCAGATGATGGTCACTGGCTGTTGGTGGCCGTGAGCGGGAATCAAATTCGGGTCGCCGGGTTCGTAGCGCAGCGTAGCGCTGACCGCTGCACCGCCGCTCCCCACCCCGCACGGAGGGAGGCACAGACACAGACTGAGACAGCGAGACAAAGGGAGATGGGTAGGGGGGGGTGGATACAGAGAGAAAGAGAGACTGAGATAAGCAGGAGATAGACAACCGGAGAGAGATAGACAGAGAAGCACAAAGAGATAAAGATACAGAGATAGGGTGACAGAGAAAAACAGATAGGTAGAGAGAGATAGAGAGAGAGGCACAAAGAGATAAAGATACAGAGATAGGGTGACAGAGAAAATAGATAGGTAGAGAGAGATAGACAGAGAGAGTTCTACAGAAATAAAAGCATGAGACGCAAAAACGGAGAGCGAGGGGACGGGGGGCAGAGAGAGCGACACACACAGACACACACACAGACACACACACAGACACACACACAGACACAGACACACACACAGACAGACACAGACACACACAGACACACACACAGACACACACACAGACACAGACACACACACAGACAGACACACACAGACACACACACACAGACACACACACAGACACACACACACAGACACACACACAGTCACACACACAGACACACACACAGACACACACACAGACACACACTCAGACACACACAGACACACACACAGACACACACACAGACGCACACAGAGTCACACACACAGACACACACACAGACACACACACAAACACACACACAGATACACACGCAGACGCACACACAGTGACACACACACACACACAGATACACACACAGACACACACACAGATACACACACAGACACACACACACAGATAAATAGAAAGAAAGATGGAGATAGGAAGATGTGAAACAGACACGCAGATAGAGACACTGATACAGAGGAAGATTTGGGAGACAGAGACACGGAGATAGAGGGAGACGTGAGAGACAGAGACGCAGATAGAGACTCGGAGACAGGGGGAGACAGAGGGAGATGTGAGAGACAGAGACGCAGATAGAGACTCGGAGACAGGGGGAGACAGAGGGAGACGTGAGAGACAGAGACACAGATAGAGACTCGGAGACAGGGGGAGACAGAGGGAGACGTGAGAGACAGAGACGCAGTTAGAGAGTCGGAGAAAGGGGGCGACAGAGAGAGAGGTGAGAGATAGAGACGCAGCTAGAGAGTCGGAGACAGGGGGCGACAGAGGGAGACGTGAGAGACAGAGACGCAGCTAGAGACTCGGAGACAGGGGGAGACAGAGGGAGACGTGAGAGACAGAGACGCAGCTAGAGACTCGGGGACAGGGGGAGACAGAGGGAGACGTGACAGACAGAGACGCAGATAGAGACTCGGAGACACGGGGAGACAGAGGCAGACGTGAGAGACAGAGACACAGCTAGAGACTCGGAGACAGAGAGAGACAGAGGGAGACGTGAGAGACAGAGACACAGCTAGAGACTCGGAGACAGAGGGAGACAGAGGGAGACGTGAGAGACAGAGACACAGCTAGAGACCCGGAGACAGGGGGAGACAGAGGGAGACGTGAGAGACAGAGACGCAGCTAGAGACCCGGAGACAGGGGGAGACAGAGGGAGACGTGAGAGACAGAGACGCAGATAGAGACTCGGAGACACGGGGAGACAGAGGGAGACGTGAGAGACAGAGACACAGCTAGAGACTCGGAGACAGGGGGAGACAGAGGGAGACGTGAGAGACAGAGACGCAGCTAGAGACTCGGAGACAGGGGGAGACAGAGAGAGACGTGAGAGACAGAGACGCAGATAGAGACTCGGAGACACGGGGAGACAGAGGCAGACGTGAGAGACAGAGACGCTGCTAGAGACTCGGAGACACGGGGAGACAGAGGGAGACGTGAGAGACAGAGACGCAGCTAGAGACCAGGAGACAGGGGGAGACAGAGGGAGACGTGAGAGACAGAGACACAGCTAGAGACTCGGAGATAGAGGGAGACAGAGGGAGACGTGAGAGACAGAGACGCAGATAGAGACCAGGAGACAGGGGGAGACAGAGGGAGACGTGAGAGACAGAGACACAGATAGAGACTCGGAGACAGAGGGAGACAGAGGGAGACGTGAGAGACAGAGACGCAGATAGAGACTCGGAGACAGGGGGAGACAGAGGGAGACGTGAGAGACAGAAACGCAGCTAGAGACCCGGAGACAGAGGGAGACAGAGGGAGACGTGAGAGACAGAGACGCAGATAGAGACTCGGAGACAGAGGGAGACAGAGGGAGACGGGCGGAGGCGGAGGGCGGGCGGACTCACCGACGGCACCCGCAGGACAGGGCCTCTCCGCCGTCTTGCCCGGCGGCAGCTGGGGCCACTGGACGGCGTGGGCGAGCGTGGGGGGACAGAATGCGGGGTCGCGGGTGCCGCCCTCGCCGCCGTCAGCGGGCGCCGCGTCTCCCGGTTTCACGTCGGTCGTGTCCTGCGGTGGCGTTAAAGAGTGGAGCGCAGCGTTGCAAGTGTTGAACCTCTTTCGCCAACCGTGCAGAGCCAACCGTGCTAATCGGAGGTGCGGTGCGCCAACCGCCACCGCTCACCACCACTACCATCAGCAACAACAACGCCACCACCACAGTCGCCACTACCACTGCCAACAAATATAAAGATCCCCCACCCCCCCCGTATAACCTTTAACAGACTGTAGGGGCAAGTGCTGTTCGCGAGCAGCTATGAAGGCCGGCACGGCACGCAAGGGGATGGGTGGCCAGCACCATGCCCGACCGCCTGCGGTGATGTTTTTACGCACCGTACCAGCTAATTATTTGAGGCTGAGTCGACCTAGGAGAGGAGTCCCAGGACCGGTTCAGATAATCGTCACCGGTGTTGGCCGTGAGCGGGAATCGAACTCGGGGTCGCCGGGTTCATAGCGCGGCGTAGCGCTAACCGCCGCACCACCGCTCCCCACCACTATCACCACCACCACCACCACCACTACTGCCAACACTCTTGCTGCTACCACCACCGTCACCACCACCGTCACCTGCGGCAGTTGCGCAGGGATGGGCGGCACCGTCGCCACGCGGCTCCGCGGAGGACTTGCGGTGCCGCCTCCGCTGGAAGGCCCCGACGTCGAAATCTCGTGCACTGCATTGTGGGAAACGCAAAGAACAAAACGACCGCATTGATGACACGGGCGCGACCGGCTAACATTTACACAGTCGACGGCGGCAAGAGCAGCGACGGCCGGCCGCTCCATTCGACACCGCCTATTGGCACGATCGGCTACGTACGGCGCGGAAAAAGTTCAACGTGCAAACATTCACAACCCAAGCGCAGCGGCGCAGGGCTACCAAACGTCCTGCACTGGCCGAACGTTCCCCGGTTTCAGGAAGGCCATCCCCGGTGTCCCAAAGAGTTCAAAGCTTGAGCCGCTTCAAAGTTTTCTGGCCTCATGCTCGACCCGTGGGGGGGGGGGGGGGCAGCTGGCGAGCGCAACGTCAGAGACAAAAGCCAAGGAGGAGGCCTCCTCACGCACCTCCGATTAGCGCAGTCGGCCACGCGGGGCGCGAGAGAAAGTTCCAACGTACCGCCCCGATCGCTACCGTCGAACAAAGTCGGTCACCGTGTGAAAAACAAGAATAGGCTTGACCCCTTTCTGGCACTAAAACAGGAGGTGTTAAGATGCTCAAACACTAAAACAGACGAAACCTCACACAAGCAATCACGTCCGAAATAACCGCGCACATATCTGTGGTGAACTTGCAAACGGAAACATCACGCTCTGGTAGTATGTGATGCACTGTCTTTGAAACGTATTGGCCTGCACCAGAGACAGCCGTCTTAATGGCCCAGTCCCATCAGTGTCTCACCAGAGAATGCCGAAAGGTGACCAGGACAAGGACAACGGTACTATCGGAGCCTTGATATCTCGGGGGTGAGCAGCTACACCATCGGGAAATATTGTTTTGCCAGTATCAAAAGTATTGAAAGATAAGAATAGGTTTTAGCCCTTTCTGCCAATAACACAGGAGGTTTGATTCAAAGCTTCCGTGACTGCAGGGATTCATATTCTTGGTTCTTTTGGTAAAGTCACCACCATGTAGAAGGGAAACAATAAAATAATAAAAATATAAAACAATAAAATTCTCACGACGTTTCGACTGCAACACAAAGCAATCATCATCAGGTGTGAAAACCACAGCAAGAAAAAACCACAGCAAGAACATTTTCTTGCTCTGGTTTTCACACCTGATGACGATTGCTTGGTGTTGCAGTCGAAACGTCGTGAGAATTTTATTGTTTTTTATATTTTTATAATTTTATTATTTCCCTTCTACGTGGTGACTTTACCAAAAGAACCAATAATATGAATCCCTGCAGTCACGAAAGCTTTAAATAAAGCCTCCTGTGTTATTGGCAGAAAGGGCTAAAACCTATTCTTATCTTTCAATACTTTTGATACTGGCAAAACAATATTTCCCGATGGTGTTGCTGTTCACCTCCGAGCTATCAACGCTCCGATAGTGCCGCTGTCCTTGTCCTGGTCACCTTTCGGCATTCTCTGGCCAGACACTGATGGGACTGGGCCATAAAGACGGCTGTCTCTGGTGTAGGCCAATACGTTTCAAAGACAGTGCATCACATACTACCGGAGCGTGATGTTTCCATTTGCAAGTTCACCGTGAGTATGTGCGCGGTTATTGCAGACGTCTGTTGAGTACACGTCAACAACAGACGGAGCGAGTTCAATAAAAATGTCAAACAGACGAGGCGGTGATGGGAGAGCGACTTGAGACCCCTGCGCCGTTTAGCCGATGAGTGCCTCCCGGCGATGGATAACAATCACCCGTGGCAGTCCTCATGCGGCTGTGGGCCTCTGTGAAGCAAACCCGCGGGCCATGGATGGGGTCCTACCTCTGGTTTTAAAAGGTCAGTTTGGTACGAGCGGCTGGATTTAATCACTCGCTCTGAATGTAATGACATTGTCCTGTGAGCAAACTTGGCCCCGCCATAGGAAGGTGGAATTCCCACCGCTGGCTCAGGGTTGTAAGCGGGAGGTGAGAGCCAAATGCGTCGAGACGCTCTCTTCTTGAGCAGGAAAATCAGTTTTGAGTCGTCGTCGAATGCGACGGCGAGTGTCTGTTGACAACCAACTCCTCAACTTGGGCACCGCAGTGGCATAGATGTTGACTACCTCGCCTGGTATACAGGAAGTCGTGGGTTCGATCCTGAACCTGATGCCTGCTGCTGTATATTTGGAGTTTGCGTGTCTCTCTGCGTTGTGAGATGTTAACTACCTCGCCTGGTATACAGGATGTCGTGGGTTCGATCCCGACCCTGACGCCTGCTGCTGCTGTATATTTGGAGTTTGCGTGTCTCTCTCTCTCTCTCTCTCCGTGGTGAGATGTTAACCGCCTCGCCTGGTATTCGATGGGTAGGTCGTTATGGTGGGCCAAAGCGTGTCCTCGTACTCCCGCCTCTCAAAGAAGTCTGGCAAGCGTGCAAGAGTAGGCCAAGTACCCTCTCTAGAGCTCCCTCGAGTAGAATCCCTTCCACCAGCAGCGGCATGAAGCAAGCAAATTAATTTTTATCGTCACTGTTATTATTATTATTGTCATAATGCCATCGAACTGCAAGACAAAGCGGACTTTTCGATTTAAAGCTTTCGTGACTGCAAGGATTCATCTTCTTTGGTTCTTTCGGTAAAGTCACGTAGAATGAGAATAAAATAATAAATTGATAAAATAAAATAACACAATAATATTCTCACGACGTTTCGGCCACAACACAAGCGGCCTTCATCAGGTGAAGGGACGAGACTGTCTGGTAGGACAGCGCTGGAGTGAAAAAAAGCCACGTTCAGATCACGACCTTTAAGCTGTGTCAGAAGAAACAAAGCGCCTTGACAAAGGAATTAGCATATAATTTAGCATTGAAATGGCCGAGTGATTAGCTTGTGACTGGTCACAGAAATGGCTATGTTAAAGTTAAAGCATACACATCCGCAGAGGCACCCCTTGACAAAGGAATTAGCATAGAATTTAGCATTGAAATAGCTGAGTGATTAGCTTGTAACTGGTCACAGAAATAGCTATGTTTAAAGTCAGAGCATACACATTCACCGAGGCACCTAGTACAAATCAAACAGGAGAATTTAGCATTGAAATAACTAGGCGAATTTAGCATTGAAATAACTGAGTGATTAGCTAGTGACTGGTCACAGAAATGGCTATGTTGAAGTCAAGATCTACACATCTGAGCTATTCACAGTAACTGGGTATACAATACAATGTATAATGAATACTATATAGTGAACCAATAAAAAACTAAAATATAAATTACCTTAATGTTATCAATGAACTCTATATTCTCCAATCAGCTAAGCTACCAACAATAAGTCGTTATATATCACAATGCTATATGGCGAAAAAATGGGTGGATTCTTACCCTCAACTTTAGCAACACGGATAGCTACGGGCCCCGTTCAGACGGACGAGTTCATCCAAGGTCGGAACAGAGGAGGGGGAGAGAGACAGCTGCGAGGCGCTATTATACTCCATGTTGTAAACCATACCATTAACCGTGGTGTGAGAGGTATTAAGAGTCAATGCTGGTGAAAGAGCTGCGGTCTGAAGGTCATCGTAAAATACAATTAATTAAGAACGGAAATGGTTTAAAACATCTTTCCAATGGTTACTAAGCCAGAATCCATCTTCTCGGTTGAAATTGTCTCTGTGCTTGTATATGTGAATGGCCTCATGAACGAATCTCTCATGGTAGCCGGTTGGTTTGCAAAGAACCTCCGTCTTGGAGAAGTCAATGTCATGTGAGCCCACTGAATTATAACAGTGATCTGCCATGGCAGAGGAGTTCGTCCTACCGTGTTTCAAGTCTGCTTTATGTTCACGGATGCGGTCCGAGATATGTCGCTTGGTTTCTCCAATGTAGCTACTACCACAGAGGCACTTTAGTTTGTAAACGCCCGGGTACTGTATGTCTGGAACAGCATCTTTTACAGATGGAACTAGATCACGGATTTTATGTATTGTGTTGAATCGGACCTGGATCTTGTGTTTATTCAGGATTTTGGAGATCTTTTTAGTGACCCCTGCAATGTAGGGTAAGGTGATGGTTTTGAGTGGCTCCACAAGAGAATCCTTCTTCATGACTGGAGTGATGGCTTTGCGGATTGTGTAGTCGGAGTAACCATTAGCCCTGAGAGCCTGGTGTACGTGCTTGAGTTCACTGGTAATGTGTTCCTGGTCGGAAATGCATTGGGCTCTATGGTATAGAGTCTTGATGAGAGAGTTCTTCTGGAATGGATGGTGGTGGGAATCCGGTTTCAAGTAAGCATCTGTATGTGTGGCTTTCCTGTAGACAGAGTGGCTCATTGAACCATCATGTCTCCTTTTAATTAAGACATCCAAAAAGGGGAGTTTGCCATCTTTTTCGACCTCCATGGTAAATCTGATGGCTGGGTGTATGGAATTGATGTGGTCGAGGAATTGGTCTAGAGCAGGCTGGCCATGTGGCCAGATGACAAAGGTGTCATCCACGTACCTCTTCCATAAGGTCGGGCGTAGAGTGGCAGTCTGGATGGCGTCAGTTTCAAAATTTTCCATGAATACGTTGGCTACACCTGGAGATAGGGGGGAGCCCATTGGGGTGCCCTCAGTTTGTTTGTAGAAAGTTCCATTCCAGGTGAAGTATGTGTTGGTTAAGCAATGTCTCACAAGGGGGGGTACACCCACACACCGAAAAGATAGACGTCAACAAAGTCGTAATTAATCGCAGTAACAGTTCCATTTCTGATGGTCTGAAATCCCTTTTAGCTAAAGGTCTAAACTTTGCTGTCACCCCGAGACACTTACCGGTTAACGACATCATTGCCCATGTCGACGTTGTACTCAAGGGCTTGAGTCCCATCGCTGCAGACGTAGCAAGATCTGAAATCGCTGCAACCCTCAAAAACGCTAAGTTGCCACCCAGCAACATCAGCAAAGACGAACGTTTTGAATTATCTCAATTAAAAAGAGGGATGATATTGTCGTCCTCTCAGCCGACAAGGGCAATGCCACTGTCATCATGGACAAAACAGAATATAACAACAAAATTCAAGAACTACTCAACGATGGCAGCTATAC